AGATCTATCCTTCCAGGCCTTCGGTTACCCACAGTTCTCTTCCATTGCCATAAGGAAAAGAAAAAGCAACAAACACAATGAAACAGGCTCCGTGTTCTCTGACTAGTTCCCTCACGAGTTTCACGCCGCTCTGGTGATGTCACCACGCAGCCTTGTTAGGACTGCTCCATTTGTGTGACCAACAGGCTACCAAGGAGGAGTCTTTATAGGACAGTCCAACCGAGGACCCGCACTACCTCGGCTGCAGCCTAGGCTTTGGAACGCAGCTACATTCTCCATCAACCTGAGGGACCACTTCACCATGCAAAGAACCTTTTAACCATGTAAATGATTATGGTTCTTTATACAACAGTTAGTTCCGGCCACGCAAGCTGATTGGTTGTGAGGCGTTCTAACCATGCTGATATTTCGCCATAACATCACGTTTTTTTCACACACTCTGTATCACTCCGCTGAGATGCCATTGCTAAGCAACAACTTTGACAGCTGTAGGAGACGCTTAAGCCATTTGAACGTTTTTACTTCTTAATTTGCGCACAAACAGAAAATGGATTACATTTGACCGTCAGCCGATTTGGTCAGACTCTGAAGATGAGACTACACTAAATTCCGAAACTGGTCAGTTGGTCTGTGTAAGGAGCTGGAGAACGAACTGCCGGCTGTGCAGCGAGCGAGTTAACAAGCTGCTTGTTAAGGAACTATAATTTGGCAGAAGTAAATGCTAACATTAAAACATATTAAATGCCGCGTTCACGGCCCAATTTTTATTTCTTACTTTATTTATTTAAAGGTTGTATAAAAGCAATAGAACACTCGAGGTCGTGTGTACTCGCCTTCGGCTCATGCCTGCGTACAAATCACAGCCATGATGTTATTTCGCAATAACACACTCCCTCTCGTGTTGTATTGCTTAAATATTGAACATTGTCTTTGCTAAAGAACCCTTGAAGAGCTATCTTTTATAGGCCTGTACCTCATGTGTGTCAAAATTATGAAAAAGGCTTTAGTTTCCAAACACTGAGTCAAGCATCATTAGCAGATATTAACCATGACATGACAGACTGTACAAGTATTGTGTATGAAACAGACTGAAGTGGCTTAAACTAACAGACACACTGAGCAGGTGAGCTCAGAGTGAATATACAGTGGGAGATTTTAATATGAAAGTTTCTACCTGACGCTGAGTTGCTGGTGATGAATGCTTTAGTCAGACTGGTGGGAGGTAAACATGCTATATTACATCCCATTCTCCCAGCTGGAGGTTCACGTTGTAGATTGTTCTCATGGTAGTGTGTGCACACACTGTCTGCTCTGTTATACAACAGTATAGTTTCACAAGAGAGCAGTACATGAAATAAAAACAAGAAACAGTCCATTTATGTGGGACATAATTCAAATTACTGAAATTTCTTCATTTGTTTACACAGTTCTATTGTGCTCCTCCATTCTAGATTGTTCTCTCCATTCACATTGTTCTAGAATGTTCGTCCTCATTCTGGCTGTTCAAGAATTTCCCCCAATCCATATTGTTTTACAATATTCTCTGATATTCACTCTCACTCACTGTTCTAGAATGTTCTCCCCCATTTGGATTGTTCCAAATTGTTCTTCTTACAGTTCTAGAATGGTGTTCCTCATTCACACTGTTCTAGAAAATTTCCTGATGTTTCTCCATTCCCTCTGTTTTTCAATGTTCTCCTAAATTCACAGTCTTAAAATAACTCCTGACATGTACAATGTTCTGGAATACCCCATTTGTGCTGTTCTAGATTGTTGTTACTATTCACAGTGTACATTTTTTCCTATTCACACTGTTCCAGAATGTTCTTCTTATTTAAAATGCTCTACAGGGTTGTCTTCCATTCACCCTATTCCAGAATGTTCTCCCATTCACACTGTTCTTCAATATTCTGCTTTTTGGGCTGTTCTACAATGCTCATCCCCATTTACACTGTTCTAGAATATTCTGCTCATTCACACCATTCTAGAATGTTCTTCTCATTCACGCTGTTCCAGAATATTCTTGCTTATTGACACTGTTCTAGATTATTCTTCCCATTCAGACTGCTCTACAGTGTTCTCCTCCACTCAGTGTTCTAGATCTTTGTCCCAATACACATAGTTATAGATTGTTTTTCCCCATTCACATTGTTTTAAAATGTTCTCCCATTTACATTGTTCTAGAATTTTCTACCCATTTAGGCTGCTGTACACTGTTTTCCCCATTCACACTATTCTAGATTGTTAGACTGTTTTTCCTTATCTGCACTGTTCTAGAATGTTCTTCCCATTCAGAATGCTCTGCAGGGTTCTCCCCTTCACACTATTCTGGAACGTTCTCTCCAGTCACACTGTTACAGCTTTTTGTTCTCATTTTACACTGTTCTAGAATCTTCTCTCCTTTCAGAATGCTCTACAACATTCACCCCATTCACACTGTTCTATAATTTCCTTGTTCTCTCTTCTCCATTTACATTGTTCTACATTCTTCTTCCCATTCACTTTGCTCTAGAATGTTCTGACACTGTTCTATAACGTCCAATTCAGCCTGCCCTCTATTCACACAGTTCTAGATTGTTGTCCAAATTCACAGTTCTTGATTGTTGTTTCTCATTCATGCTGTTCTAGATTTATGCTGTTTTAGAATGTTTTCCCCATTCAGACAACTCTAGAATATTTACACCATTTACACTGTTCTAGATTGTTAGACTGTTCTTCCATATCTACACTGCTCTAGAATGTTCTTCTCCATTCTGACTATACCAGAATGCCTCCCTCCCCTCCATTCACACTGTTCCATCAGGCTGGTGACCGGTCTGTATTCAACCTCAGGTCTTCTGTGCTGGTTGCAGAGATCTGTCATGAAATTAAAGTTAGAACTTTGGGAATCTGAATGTCCCTTAAAGACTTGCCTAAAGGTCGTTACTGAATCATGTAACCCCTTAAACTCTAAGGTCCTGTCTGCAAGTTTAGACTTTTACTTATTCTCAAAGTGACATACCAAACACAGTAGTCTCACCACATCTGCTGGAAAATAAGCTTTAAGATTAAGATCTGCATTATTTAATTGGTTGGGTCATATGCCAGGATGATCACTTCAGTGTTTGTGAAGAAAGTTCAGTTCACATTCACCCCACAAGACAAGATGGTTTTTAGATGACATTGAAACAGTTTCTGTCCTGATGAAATGCCTGGTGTATTTGTGCACATATATTTATTTATGGTGTCAACAGCTTTACAAATTGATTAAAATAAAAGGCCATAATGTGGGAAGCATTTTATAGGGAACATTTAATGATATGAAGGTTACAATTTATGTGCTGATTGTGCGGTCACCTGACCCAGTACCTGTTCCAAACTCCCAATTTTCATTTAGGCTTTTTTTTAAGGTAGCATTCTAGAAAATTGTCAGAATGTAGGTGACGTTTCTCAGCTGTATTCAATCCTTCTAAATTGAACAGCTTTCAATGTCACAGCGGTCTTGAAAAGCAGCCTACCTAGACCACTGCCCACCTTTCAGAATGCAGCTTTTGTCTCTTCTCATTGGATGAGTATGAACTGGGCTTAAGTTATACTGTTCCAGAATAAGAACTGATGAACCAGTGTGTATATGGGGGAATATTCTAAAACAGTGTGAAGGAGGGAGAACATTCTAAAAACAGCATGAATGAGGGAGACTCTTCTAAGTAATGTGGAGGGAGAAAAAAAATTCTAGGACCATGTAAATGGGATAGAACATTCTGGAGCAGGGCTGCCCAATGTATGACCTGCAGACCAAAGCTGGCCCACTGAAGACTTTTGATTTGGCCAGAAAGTTAACCTAAAACCACTCGCTCACCCAATCAGAGAACAAACATATTATCAGATGATGTATAACATTCACTTCCTTTTGTACTTTTGTAATAAAATACAGTGCAATATCTTAAAAAAAATGATTCCCTTTTTTGTCCTCTGCCCTGCATAAACACTTCACTTTTGCCTCCCAAGATTAAAAGTTATGGCACCCCTGCTCTAGAGTATCCCAACACCAATACACAGATATGACACACCAGCCCAGTGTTTGTTTAATTTATTTTTTGGAAGAATATTCAGTCTTTTGCTTGGGAGCTGAGCTAAGTTGCTGTGATTTGGGAAGTGCAGTGTCAGGAGCTGTGGTTCCTGAGGCTTGCTCACACTGTGGTGTGTGAGAGTGAGCTTTTTGAGGATGTTCTTTAGAAAAGGCACCCAGCAGTGTTATGCAGCAGAGCACAGAGAGGGTACCCTGCGGGGCTCAGCAGTACACCTCCCTGCTGAGAGACGAGAAGCAGGAACTGCAGGAAAACTCAATTCTGGCATCCTTACTACCTGCTTCACCCATTTCCCTGCACCGAAATGATCAAGACAAGAACATGCTTATACATATATACACAGATCAGATAGGGATACTGCAGTGCTTAATGGAGCCTTTAAGTATGAATGTAAGTCGTATGTCCTATATTACTCAGTGTTACCAACCTCTCTTCATGCGTTAGAATTATACAGGCTGTTTTGCTTAAGACTGATATATGTAAATGACCTCTGTTCTGATTGGCTGCCCTGTATTGTGCTGATTCAAAAAGTGGTCTGGGCTAAAATTGACTTTAAAACATTAACGTGAATGAATGATTGGTGGGGCTAAATGTAGTAGACTGAATGGGCAAATATGTATAAATGCATTGGTTTTCATGACATTAATAATTTCCTTTTTTGTAGCTTATTTTCTAGACATGAACTATAGACTGGAGCTTTTGTTTATATGCATTTTTCCAAAAAAGTCAGGAAAATGAAGACCCTCTAATGTTAAAATTTTGTCGTTGGGATGTTAGGAGGATTGATGTTTAGTGCATTTTAGTTTTATTGACTATGAATTACTTTTAATTTACTTAAAATATCCTATAGATCAGTTGTTTTCAAATATGTTACTTTAAAGTTACTTTTCCAGTTTTAAACTCAACTAATCTTTCCTCATCTTTCACCCTCAGGATATAACTGCATTCAGCTTATGGCAGTTTTGGAGCACGCTTACTATGCAAGCTTCGGCTACCAAGTCACCAACTTCTTTGCAGCCTCCAGGTAAATAATATATATTTTATCACTTATTCCACCCCAACTGAATTCGTAAGGGTATCTTTTGCTGCATAGAAGTGGGACTGGTTCCTGGATTGCTGTGTTAATATTGAGACAGCAAAAACACTTTCTTAAGCATTTTAAACATGCACAATAATGTTCATACCTTTCTGATAATGCCTTTAGAGTATAGTAGCTTTTTCCAAAGTCTTTTCCAGCCAATCTGTTCTTCTGAATCAACACTTAATTAGTGTTAAGTATGCTACAGTGTTAAGCCAGTAATATCCATATTTGAAATATTGCATTTCCTTTGTTCCATATGTTGTTTGAGCTCACCTGAGCACAGTTTTTTTCAAATCAATCAATCAATTGGGTCACTTATCATATTGTATTCAGTCTTTTGGTCACACAGAACTTCTTTCTTCAAACTAAACAACAGAAAATCAAAATTTGAGGGTGAATGAAAGTATGAAGGTTGTGTAATCAAAAAAGCTCAAATGAGTAGTGTTAAATATTCATGGACGTATATCTATATGAAGTATCCCATTGGTGGGGTTAATTGTAACAGACAGAGTAGTAGTAACAGTCACTAAAAAGTCTGGTAAATCAATGCAAAACACTATTAATTTAATACAGTTACATGCTGTTTGAACCAAACCTTCAAACCTAAATACATAAAAATAACTGCATTAAATCAATAATAATAAATATAATAAAAATAAATGTAATAAATCAAAAGATTCAAACGTGGCACATTTTTTTTGACCAGTCCATTGAACATTGAATTTATATGGGAGGGGTGTGGACTTCTCTCAGTGTTTCCTCTGAAAGGCTCAGTTTTCTCTCTCTGAGTTCTTTTAACACTTCAAAATTGTGTTAAATTACAGAGAGATTAAAATAATATAGAAGTGAATCCTGTGACTTAAAGACACAAATCAGCAGAAGAAAAACACTTATGATGAAAAAGTTATCTTTATGATATAAAAACACTTTTCAGGGTGAATGCGGAGAAAAATCTGTCTGACTGCTGTTGGAACTTGCAGATGATGTTGCTATGGAAATGCAAGAACATGAATAAAAGCATGTTCTGCTTGAACCTGTTTAGCTGTTTAAACCCATGTTACCTTTTACCCCTCATTAGTTTGTGCCCCTCTCTCTCCTAATTAGCAAAACATCCCAGCAGTCCACACTCTAAACTATGTCATCGCATCTTTTGTAGCAAAAAAAAATAATATTCAGAATTTATAAAACACCAAAGTAAAAAACATGTCTGCCTCTCATTGCCACCCATGCTCTGTGTTTTAGATGTTGCTAAAATGCAACATGGGCCTCAGTTTTCACCACTTTACTCCATTATTCCATTATGATCAGGGGGTCCAACTATGGGTTTGCAGACTCCCTGTCCAAGAAATTATGCATGAGACGCATGAGAAGGCTTTCCTATTGTATTTGCAGCATATAAAACCGTACTTCAGATTTTAAAATTAAAATTTGCTGGTTATATACACCGATCAGGCATAACATTATGACCATCTCCTTGTTTCTGTGGTCATTGTCCATTTTATCAGCTCCACTTACTATATAGGTGCACTTTGTAGTTCTACAATTACACACTGTAGTCCATCTGTTTCTCTGCATAATTTGTTAGCCCCCTTTTACCCTGTTCTTCAGTGGTCAGGACCCTCACAGTTTAGGTACTATTTGGGTGGTGGATCATTCTCAGCCCTTCAGTAACACTGATGTGGTGGTGGTGTGTTAGTGTGTGTTGGGCTGGTACGAGTGGATCAGACACAGCAGTGCTGCTGGTCTGTGTCCACTCACTGCCCACTCTATTAGACACTCCTACCTTGTCAGTCCACCTTGTAGATGTAAAGTCAGAGACAATAGCTCATCTGCTGGTGCACAGTTTGTGTTGGTCATCCTTCATCAGTGGTCACATGACGCTGCCCACAGAACGTTGTTGGCTGGATATTTTTGGTTGGTGGACTATTCTCAGTCCAGCAGTGACACTGGGGTGTTTAAAAACTCCAGCAGCACTGCTGTGTCTGATCCACTCAGACCAGCGCAAGACACACTAACACACCACCACCACATCAGTGTTACTGCAGTGCTGAGAATGATCCACCACCCAAATAGTACCGGCTCTGCGAGAGTCCATGGGGGTCCTGACCACTGAAGAACAGGGTAAAAGGGGGCTAAAAAAGTATGCAGAGAAACAGATGGACTACAGTCTGTAATTGTAGAACTACAAAGAGCACCTATATAGTAAGTGGAGCTGATAAAATGGACAATTAGCATAGAAACAAGGAGGTGGTCATAATGTTATGCCTGATCGGTATATAAATAACTTGTAAAATGTGCCATAATATGTTAAATAAAGCAATAACACATTAAATTCAGCAAATGATTAAAATTTTCAGAAATGTTTTTTTCTGTAGAGGATGTGTTGACCTATTTTCAGTAAAGCATGTAATTTGACCAAGTGAGCCCAAAATGTTGCATTCAACTGCATCAGTGCCAGAGTCTAGAGATGGCGTGCTACTACTTTCTCTTTTGTGAAATAGATACCAGCACTGATATTGAAATCTTTAGTATCAGCCGACACCTCATATTTTTTTCTTTAACACTACTAAGCAGTAATTCTTAATTGATGCACTTTACTTAAGATGAGCATCTGTCATGCTGAAACTAATCAAACATTCTCCTACCCCACAGGATGAAATACACAGCTACCAACATCATAACACAGTGTTTTATTAAAAAATTTTGTTACAGGATTGAATCTGGTTCATCTTTTTTCCCTCTCATTTCCAATCAAGCATTTTCCTCTCATATCGGCTCAGTACCGATACGCATCGATACCAGCGTGGCGTATCTACTACGCCAGGGTCTGTCAGGATTAAACCAATCAAAGCAGGTTCTGTGGTCCTCACTGTACACAGTGTAGTTTTTGGAGATGATTGAGTTAAGTAAGTATTTCTGAGTCAGTAATTGTAGATCATTGTTCAGCTGTCTGGGTTGCTGTAGATAGGATTCTGCTGTGTCTCGTTGCAGATGCTCATAAGGTATAAATAGAATGGCAGCTATTAATCCATAAATTGATATTGATCTGCATTTCTCCTCCCAGTAAAGGCGTTTGTATTGTTATATGTAAATGGGGCAGGGTAACCTTGGCTTAGCGCTAAAAATCCCACTGATTGTAGCTTTAAAGGTAATTATTCTCACCTCAGGGCCCCAGAGCTACACTGATTCCATCTGCATGCATCGCTCTCTCCCCACCAAAACACATTAGTCCCCCATGCCGTGGCCTGCTGACATTTTATTTATTGCTGTTATTTCTAAAGGGCCTGGTAGTGTGAGAGTGTGACAATAACTAAATGCTTTTCATTTTGTGCGCGAACTCGGGTGTGTGCTGGAGTGTTTTTCGGCCACGGCGGCGGAGCACGAAGCGCGGTGCCAGCCACTGAATCAGGATGAGCCAGTCTGACAAGGGCAGTAATCTTACAGTAAACACATTTGCAGTTAATCCACAAATAGAAGAGAGCCCAGATAAATAACAATAGTGAAAAAAAGAGAATTGGGCCTCCAAAATAAATAAACCCTCATGAAAGAAAATGGCGCATTTGGATGAAGGGAGTGAGTGGCCTTCTCAGCCTAATAAAATATGACAGACTCATTGGGAATTTTTATTTCTTCTTCTGTGCGCGAGGCTGCCGGAGCCACCCTAGCTGAGGCTAGATAGAGTGTAATGTATACAGAGTCATTTCACTCTTGATTGATCACTCGCACACATTTAAAACTGCTTGAGAGAGAGAGGGGGGGGTGGAGAAAGAAGGAGAGAAAGAGAAGAGAATGCAAAAGAGAAAAGACAGAGATGAAAGAGAATAAGCGAGATAGACAGGAGAAGAGAAGGAAAGAGGGCGAAGCGAGAGAGAAAAGATAGTCGAGAGAGACAAGAGAACAGAATGAAAGAAAGCAAAGAATCATGAGAGAAAGCAAGATAGACTAGAGGACTACTGAAATAGTGAGAGATGGGGAAAAAGAAGAAAGAAAAAATAGGAGAGAACAAGATAGAGGAGAGGCAGAGAAAGAGAGGGAGTCAAGTTGAAAGAAAGAGAGAAAAGAGTGAAAAAGAAACAAGCCATAAAGAAAGAGGAGAGAGCGAGAGAGAAAGGATGGAAAGACAAAAAGATGAGAGAGAGAGAGAGAGAGGGAGAGAATGTTTACAGAGTTTCTCGTCTCTGTCCTGTGGGGAGAAGCAGTTGTAATAGCTACTGTAGGTCGTATGGAGAGAATGTGAAGGAATATTGGGAGAGCGGGTCAGTCTTGATCCCAGAGAGCATTGATCATGCAGATACTGCACTGTTTCTCTCTCATCTCTCACCGAGCTGCCTGGGAGCTCCTCAGTGGAGCAGTATTCATTCCTGCCGCAGCTAAATTTCATTTAGCCTCACCTACGCTGTCCCCTGTGTGTGTTTCTCCATTACATCCTGCTGACAAAGACCACCTTCCTCTACAGCACCGTAGCTAACGCACAAAAGCACACACACATGAGGGATCCCTTCATACAGCATGCATGAATTCTACACTCTGCAAGTGTAATGTTCAGTTATAGTCAATGCAATATTTTCAATGAGAAAAACATTGTAAAAACTGAAACTGTTTCCAGTGAAATCTCCAGAGAATGTCCAGTGTTGAGCAAAGGTCAGGGACCACCTTCAATTATTTAATTGTTTGTTTGTGTTTATTTAAGAAAGAAAGAAAGACCGGAAAAAGAGTGAGATACATGAAGAAAGAGAAACCGTGAGAGAGATGAGAAGAAAGAACGAAGCAAACAAACAAACAAGTCAAAAGAGCCATTATGTAAAAGTTCTTCCGTTTTCAGACTTGCTTTCAGTTTTTCAAACAAATCTGCACAATATTTTTCCACACCTCCAAAGTTTAGTCTTAGAAGTTGTTTGCATTTTCTACTTCTCCCATTCCAAGCAATCCCAAACACATTCAGTGATGCTGAGATCTGGACTCTGGGGTGGTCAGTCCATTGTTCTGAGAGCACCAGCAGCTTCTTTGTTTGATTTGCAAATGTTCTACCTTCTTGATATAGAAACATTTGTGAACCTTTTCAGATCTGAAGCAAGATTGCAGCTTCATTTTCTACTTTACTTTTCTGTAAGATAAAAGCTTAAAGTGCTGGTTTGGTGGTCTACCAGTTCATGAACTGCTTATGTTTCATATCTTTTCAGTCGTTTTGGCACTCCAGACGATCTAAAGGCTCTGGTGGATGAGGCCCACTCTTTGGGCATCACTGTCCTTCTGGACATGGTGCACAGCCATGCCTCCAGCAATACAGAGGATGGCCTGAATCATTTCGATGGAACGGACTCCTGCTTCTTCCACGCGGGCTTCAGAGGAGAACATTCGCACTGGGGCAGCCGGCTCTTTAACTACGGCAGGTGAGGCACCACTCAGAGCTGAAAAAATCTATTAGTTGAAGCATCCCTCAGCAAGCATTTGCATTCATAAGGTGTCCATGAAAGTGTTATACATAGATGAGTAATGAAAAAGTTTGCTGGTCCTTACTTTTGCACTTCTGCAGGTAAAGCAGTGGAGGTCTGAGTTGGCATATTTGGAGAGGCTGGTGCTGTTCAGCATTGGCCGATAGAGTCATGAATGACTGTTGATCACAGTTTCATCTACATATTCACTATCAGAGAAGCTCAAGCCTGCACAGATTTGTGCCATGTGAGGCAGCGGTGTTAGTTAAGGTGAATGCCGGTGCTTTTGCAGTTCAAAGCAGAGCCTCATAAAATAGAGATTGCGTATGTGAGCTGCTACCTGGAAAACTCTTACACAGTTCAGTTCCCAGTTTTACCCTGTAATAATGTTCTTAGTTAGTATGCTCAGGGAGTTCACCATATGTCTTTTGGCCAGAATTCTGGTTCGACCTGTCAGATTTTCCTCCTTTTTAAAGTTGGAAAGGGCTGAAACAGCACTGATCTGAGCTGATTCAGGGCTGGTTTACTTACAGAGCAGATGAAGGTATGTAAGGTTGATTTTACTGGTTACAGCCTTGCTGCCAGGCAGTTTCTGAACATTTCTTAAGAAACATCCTACTTCCAGAAACATCCTACCCACCCATCAGTCATATTATTTTGAGAGGAAGAATGAAACTGCTTTTTAATCAGGGAAAAAGTTTATCAAATCAAAATCAAATCAAATCAGATTTATTGTCACATCACAAGAGTACAGGGACACAGGTGAGTGAAAAACTTGAGTGCGAGTTCCACAAATTATGCAGAGAACAGTATTTACACATAGATAAACAAAACTATAGATAGGATAGAAGAATAGATAAAACCAATTTAACTAAAATATATACATATAATCTTACACAATAACTTAAAAATAATAATATTGCACCGAGACATATAATATTGCACTGGGAATGTAGAGTGAGTGTAATCAACTATATACTATATATAGTAATGGATATTACAATGCTATGTAGATGTGCAAATAATCACACTAGGTGTGGAGGTAGAAGATGGTACAGTAGGTGGCAGAGTATTTAGTAAAGTGCAAGGTACAGGAAGTTAAGTGGAAGCGCAGGGGGAGAGTATTGTCTTTGGATAGGTATTCAAAGTCCAGCTATGCAAGTAAAGTGCGGGAGTACAGTGGGTGCACGTACGTGTAATGGGAAGGGTTGGGCTGGGCAGAGCAGTGATTACTGGCTGTTCAATAGCCTGGTTGCATGGGGGAAGAAGCTGTCTTTGAGCCGACTGGTTCTGGCTTTTAAGCTTCTGAGCCTCCTACCACTCGGCAGCTGAGAGAACAGACAGTGACTAGGATGGGAGGGGTCCTTCATAATCCTTCTGGATTTCCTCAGGCAGCGACTGGTGTATAAATCCAATAGGTTAGGGAGCTGAACCCCGGTGATGGACTGTGCTGTCCGCACCACCCTCTGCAGAGATTTCCTCTCACGAACAGTACAGTTCCCGTACCAGGTGGTGATGCTGCCCGTCAGGATGCTTTCCACAGTGCAGGTGTAGAAGGTCTTAAGGATGCTGGGGTTCAGGCCAAACCTCCTCAGCCTTCTGAGGAAGTAGAGGCGCTGGTGGGCCTTCTTCACCACCTGTGAGGTGTGCACTGCCCATGTCAGGTCCTCGCTGATGTGAACACCGAGAAACTTAAAGCTGCTGACCCTCTCTACCGCAGTCCCATTGATGGAAATCGATGGGTGTACTGTCTCCTGCTTCCTGAAGTCCACGATCAGCTCCTTGGTCTTACTGACGTTTAGAGAGAGGTTATTCTCCTGGCACCAGTTTTCCAGGATTTTAACCTCCTCTCTGTAGGCCGATTCATCGCTGTTGGAGATCAGGCCCACAACTGTTGTGTCGTCAGCAAACTTTATGATGACGTTGGAGCTGTGTCTAGCAGTGCAGTCATGGGTGTACAGGGAGTACAGGAGCGGGCTGAGCACACAACCCTGGGGGGCTCCGATGTTGAGGGTCAAAGAGGAGGATGTGATACTTCCCATCCTTACCACCTGCCGTCGGTCCGTCAGGAAGTTCAGGATCCAGCTGCACAGTGTGCTGTTCAGACCCAGATCCCGGAGCTTGCAGTTGAGCCTCGAAGGAACGATTGTGTTGAATGCTGAACTGTAGTCTACAAACAGCATTCTCACATACGTGTCCTTCTTTTCTAGGTGGGAGAGGGCAGTGTGCAGGGTCAGGGCGATTGCATCGTCGGTGGATCTATTCCGCCTATATGCAAATTGCAGTGGGTCCAGGGTGGCAGGCAGTGAGGAACAGATGATATCTCTGACCAGCCTCTCAAAGCATTTGCTTACGATGGAGGTCAGGGCAACAGGTCGCCAGTCGTTCAGACAGGTAATACTAGCTGTCTTTGGAACTGGCACAATGGTGGCTAGTTTGAAACTAGCTGGCACGACCGAGAGAGACAGTGAGGTGTTATAGATGTCTGCAAAAACTCCTGCTAGTTCCCTGTAGCAGGCTTTAAGCACTCTCCCGGGAATGCCATCTGGTCCTGCTGACTTGCGTGGGTTCACCCTCTTGAAGGCTTTGCACACATCAGCTACGGAGACGGAGGGGGCGTTGGGATCAGCGGTGGGCGGGGCGCTCTCCAGTGGTGCTGCGGGAATTCCGTCGAAGCGAGCGTAGAAGTTATTAAGCTCGTCCGGCAGATCAGCGCTGGTACTGGGCAGAGTGCGAGAGGCAGTTTTATAGTCAGAGATTGTATTTAACCCCTGCCATAAGCTTCGTGTGTTGGCTGTGTTGAACTGTGCTTCCACTTTCATTCTGTACGCACGTTTAGCTGCTCTGATGGATTTACGGAGAGCGTAGTTGGATTGCTTGTACTCCTCCGTATTTCCCGCTCTGAATGCAGCGCTGCGTGCGCTGAGGGCGGAGCGAACCTCACAGTTCAGCCAGGGCTTCTGATTGGGGTAAACGCGGACTTGTCTGCAGGGCACTACGTCATCAACACACTTGCGTATGAAGGCGGTGACTGTGTCTGCGTACTCGTCCACGCTGCCCGACGAATCACGGAACATTTCCCAGTCCACATGATCAAAACAATCCTGCAGCATAGCGTCTGATTGGTCAGACCAGCGGCGCACCTCCCTGGTAGTGACCGGCCCCCGTTTCAGCTTCTGCCTATAGGTGGGCAGGAGCAGGATGGAGGAGTGATCTGATTTGCCGAACGGGGGTCGGGGGAGGGATTTGTAACAGTTCCGGATGCTGGAGTAAACATGGTCTAAAATCCTGTCTTTCCGAGTGAAACATGTTACGTGCTGGAATAATGTCGGACAGTAGGTTCGCAGGTTATTCCGATTAAAGTCCCCCGCAACAATAAGTGCAGCCTCCGGGCGCGCGGTCATCTGCTTGCTGATAGCCTCGTGTAGCTTCCCGAGCGCGAGGTCCGAGTCCGCCTGCGGGGGGATGTACACCGCGGCCAGACAGAGTCCCATTATCTCACGGGGCAGCCACGCCGGCCGGCAAAACACGATGAGATATTCCAAATCCGGCGAGCAGAAAGACTCGATGAAATGTACATTCCTCCGATCACACCAAGCGTTATTGATCAGAAAACATACACCTCCTCCTTTGCTTTTCCCGGAGAGCTGCTTGGTTCTATCGGCGCGGTGCAGAGAGAACCCGGCGGGTTCGATGGCATTATCAGGGACCTCATCGGATAACCACGTTTAACAAATGCTGAAGTAAATCCTCCATTTAACCCTCTATTATACACATTCTGAGAGCAATGTTTAACGCTTTATATGGCTAGGGCCCATCGGCAGTCCCAAAGTGCTATTACACACTTCTATAACCTAAGAACAGTTCAGCCAGTTTGCATTGAAGTCCCTGCAGTTACTGAATAATAAGCCTTGGTATGTAATAAGCCTGGGATTTTAGGAGGTCAAACATATTTGACTCATGCATAAAATTGACCTGTTTAATAAAATCAATAAAAAACAGATTTATAAAAAAACCCAACAACAACAACAATAATAATAATAATAATAATAATAATAATAAATGACTGCAGGGGTCCTTATGGGCTATGTTGCCTAGAGGCAACATTGTGAAACAATGGAAAGAAATGAAAAGCAAAACCTTCTAAAATCTGAGTAACTACATATTTTTTTACTATTTTTTTTAACTAAAAATGCTAAATAAACAAAAAGCAAACCTATTTCCTTTTATTTTCAGGAAAACCATATTACCATGATGCAACATTGCAATGATTATATAATGTACTGAATTCCACAAACCATAGTAAAACATAAAAAAATTAATATTTAACAAAATCTGCAAACACCAGTAGAACCTATGGTATGTTGACGACTACATGATATAATTGACTGGAATGGGCTCTTAGCCACTAATATTGCATAAATGTTAATTGATAAATAAAATCCTAAAAGTAATTGAAAAAAAAATTTAAAAATTCCAAAACAATAGAAACAATAGCTGTCATGTTCTTTCAAAAGGATACGTAAGTAATACCTTATTTGCTGCTGGCTATATCCATGCCATTGCCTCACAATGTTGCTTGTAGGCAAGATTCATTTTATGCATATCATAACAAAAAAATGTTTTCTATGATTCTAAATGTTTAAAAAGGAACACTCCAGCAGCATGCTAGAAAGAGGTTAAAAAATGCCGACCCAGAGATATGGTGACCCAGTACGGGCATTTTATGGGTTTACTCAAGCTCCTACTTCCATTATTACCCCCTTTTTATCAATAAATACATATAATATCATTGTGAAGTAGGCAAAATGGATTTGTTACCCTGAGGCAACACTGTGCAATAGAGGGTAAAACTACTAATGGGGCCCCTGGTGGCTCAGGGGCTGTAAGCGACAAGAAATGGCCCTGGTTGTTGTTGTTTACATGTTGTTTGATGCAGAGCCAAAATAAGGCTGGCA